CAGATCGGGGGGAAACCATCAGAGCAACAAGAAATCCAAGCCCCCGTGCCCACACACTGCCAACCTGACCCCAGAGAGCCCGAGAGCCTCGGGCTGCAGAGCCCTGGGGTTCTCTGGGCACAGTTTCCATGGGACCAGCCCAGGAGCTGCCTCCTGTGCCAGCACGGCCACCCCACTGCACACCTGACCAAACCCACCTCCACAGGGGCTGTGCCAGCGCTGGGGCAGGGCCCCAAACATGGGCACAGCTCCCAACACACACCGTGTGACTGGGGCTGCACGGGGCACCCAGTGGGTGCTGTCACCTCCCAGCCACGGCCCTGCACCCAGACAGGTCACACCCAGCACCTCTGGCCTGAGACCCCAGAAAAGGCTGCTCAGCTAAGGATAACGGCAGAGCCATTCCAGGGATCAATTCCACGTTGCACCGAAGTTGTGCAGGACGTGGAGGCGAGCACCGTGCCAGCAGCAGCCGTGTTACATAAGGAAGGCAGAGGCTTCGATGCAGCACAAAGTTGCATCTCGGTGACTCCGTGGTGGCCGCGGCACCTCCTGGAGGCAGCGGGTTCGCTCAGCCCAGCCAGGGGCCCCGGGCCGTGGGCCTGCGGTGACAGGGACGCGTGGCGGGGATGTCCTCGGCTCGGCACGGCTGGTGTCGCCTCTGGGAGCAGCATGAGGAGCGGGAGCCTTGGGATGAGGCGGGATGCCCGCTGCCACTCCGGAACAGGAGCGCTGTGTGCATCCTTCACCCTCTCCCGAGCATGCCACCCCGCCGGCGCCACCAGAGTAAGTGTCACCCGCGCGCCGCTCTCACCCAGTGTGACGGTGTCACCCGGCGTGGCGGCGTCAGCGGGTGTCACCGCTGTGCCCGCATCACCCGGCGTGGCAATGGCACGGCCGTGCCGGTGTCCCATCACCCGCCGGCACCTGCCGCCGCGCCGGCACCCGGCGACGCCGAGCCCCTGCCCCGGCCGCGGGTGGTGGCGGTGGCGGTGGTGAGGGGGGCTCCGTGCCGCGCCCCCGCCGAGCCCCGCCGCCGCCCCTCGCCCCCGCGGCCCCCCCGCGATGCGCTGCGGAGCGCTGCGGTACCGACCTGCCGCCCGCGCCGGGCCGTGCGGGGCCGCGCGGGGCCGCGCTCCCTCCGCGCCGCTCCGCCGCCGCCGCGGACCACAACTCCCAGCAGCCCGGGCAGGAGGGGCCGCGCCGCCCCCGCCGGGACCGCGCCGGGCGGCAGCTGCGGCCCCGGCCCCGCACAGCCCGCCCGCCCCCGCGCCCGCCCCCGCGCCGCGCTCCCGCCCCGCGCCGCCGGGAGGGGCCCGGAGGGGCGGGGGAGCCGCGGGGTTGCGGCACTCGGGAGGGGTCCCCGGCGTGGAGGGGCGGGAGGAGGCGGAGATGGTCCCCGAGGGAGCGCCCATCCCGGCCGCGGGCAGCCCGGGACGCGGGGGCCGGGTGGCGGCGGCGCGGGAGGTGCGGGGGCACCGGGGGTGCAGCGGGACGCGCAGGGACGGTGGCTGCAAGGATTCAGGCACTGGGGGCTGCAGCAGTCTGGGGATGCCGGTCCCAGGGGTGGGAGCACGCAGGGATGCGGCTGCCAAGGGAATGGGGACTGGCTCCAGGGACACAGGCTATTAGGGATGCAGCAGTCGGGATGTGCGGGATTGTGGCTCCAGGGATGCAGGAACACACCCATTCGGGGTGTACTGGCTCCGGAGATCCCGGCCCCTTGTGCTGCAGCCCTCGGGCTGCAGGGGTTGCTTGTCTCCAAGAATAAACGCATCTGGCATGCAGGGGACAGGAGCTCCTAGCGAGGCAATGCCCAAGATGCAGGCAGCCAGGGGATGCCTCAGCGAGGATGTGAGGGTGTGCTGCGGCACCAGGGATGGGGGGGAGACTGTTCCCAGCTTGGAGCGTCCCTTCACAACTCTCAAGTGCTGGTGGAGAAACTGTCGTGAGTCCTCCAGCTTGCCTTTTTCCTCCCCAACCCATTTCCTGTCCCCCTAAACCAATGCTGGGAGCCCCAGGGCACCCAGCGCTCTGATTCTCCCTCCTCCGGCTGAGCTGAGCTGCCCGCGGGCAGACCCCGGGTCCGGGCAGAGCCCTGGCAGTGCTGCCCTGCCCTGCCCTGTGGCAGTGCCAGTGGAGCCGCGTGGGACATGTGTCACCGCCACAGGGCACAAGGAGAGCCCTGCCTTGCTCTGCAGCGCGCATCCTCCCCTGGCACTGCTCAGGGCTCTGGAAGTGGAAGCAGAGCTTCCTGCACAGCCCTTCAGGTGTGCGTGTGCTTCCTCTGAGCAGCTTCACCTCTGGCAGTCCTAAAATGCACTTTGTTTTCCATCCTGGCACTTTCTTTTTTTTTTTTTTTTTTTTTTTTTTTTTTTTTTTTTTTTTTTTTTTTTTTGCCTCCTGTTTGCTCCTGCCACTTCCCCGTGCTCCCAGCAGCCCATTCCCCAGCGCGGTGTGCTGCTGCAGGGCGCTGGCAGCGTTGTGTGCTGCAGGGTGAAAGGAACGGGAGTTTTTTCCACCCTGCTCCTCCCCAGACCCCCCAGGCTCAGGCACAGCTCCTGCTCCTGGCAAACAGCGCATCCTTCTGTCGGCACTCGCTGGCTCCGCGGCTCTGGGCTCTCCCCTCCTTTCTCCCCTGCTGCTTCTGAGCTCTCTGCTGCCTTCTGAGCTCTCTGCTGCCTCTGGACCAGCCCCCCGTTCCCAGCTCTACCACTCATCTCTCCCCTGCAGATCAACCTGGCTTTCAACCTGGAAAGAGACTTTGGAGTGACAGGCCAAGGGGGACTGGCTTGAAATTGAGGTTTAGATGGCACATTGAAAAGAAATTCTTCCCTGGTGAGTGGTGAGGCCATGGCACAGGTTGCCCAGGGAGCTGTTCCATCCCTGGAAGTGAACAAGGGTAGGTTAGATGGGGCTTGGAGCAACGTGGGATAGTGCAAGTGTCCCTGCCCATGGCAGGGGGTTGGAACAAGGTGTGCTTTAAAGGTCCTTTCTAACCCAAACCAATGATTCTGTGATTCCTCAGCACAGGGAAGGCCCCTCCAGGAGCACTGTCCCAGCTCCAGCCAAAACATTCCAGGAAATCCCAGCCCTGGCAGAACACAAGCCCCGTTTTGGCAACAGCTGCAGGAGGACACTGGCAGTGTCTGCCCCAGGAGGACATCTCAGGAAAAAGGAGAAGGAACCACTGGAGCCAGGAGGCTGCCCACAGACTGGGCTCCTGCCAGGGTGTCACTGGCAGAGCTGTGCCAAGTGCATCCCAGGGCTTTTCCCAGGCTTCTGGGCTGGGCAGGGATGCTGTGCCTGACCAAACTGAGCAGGGATGCTGAGCCTGACCAAACTGGGCAGGGATGCTGAGCCTGACCAAACTGGGCAGGGATACTGTGCCTGACCAAACTGGGCAGGGATGCTGAGCCTGACCAAACTGGGCACAGATGCTGTGCCTGACCAAAATGAGCAGGGATGCTGAGCCTGACCAAACTGGGCAGGGATGCTGTGCCTGACCCGGGATGCTGTTGCCTCACCAGCCTCCAATGCAGCTTGCAAGGCCCTGCTGCTCCATGCCTGACCTCGGGGGCCCCTCAGCCGTGTGTCTGCCGTGGCACGGCCCCGCTGTGCCCCTCACCCGGCCCCAGGCAGGGGGAGGGCGTTGTGGCCGAGGCTGCTGGGCCCAGACAAAGCTCCAAAGCTCCATCCGCAGCACATCGCCTGAGGCCAGAGATTGGCTCCGGCTTTACGTCACCGAGGAGGAACGGCAGCATGAAGGGCTTTCTTTTTTTTTTTTTTCCCTTCATTTTAATTCTCTTGCAATCTCTGTCCAAAAATAACCCAATCTCCCTCCCCCAGGAATGCTCTGCATCAGAGCCTTGGCTCCCTCGCCCCCTGTGCATTAGCCTGGCAGCTGCTGAGCAAAGCCATTATCGATGTCACAGCGTAACCTTGGCTAAAAGCAGGCTTGGGGAGGGCAGCGCTGTTGCATCGTTTTGGGTGAGGAGGGGCAGGGACGGATGGGAGGCTCCAGGTTTTTCCCGGGGTGTGTGTGGGGCGGGGTGGGCTGAGCATCCCCCATCCCTCCGCGCTGCCGGGGACACTGGGGGCTGGGGTATCCCGGCGGGCTGCGCCTTGGCGAGGTGACAGCCACCGTGCTCAGGGTGTCCCCCGCGGGACCTTGGCCTGCCCACAGCTGATGCTGGAGGAAAACCTCGTAGGGGCTCGTTTCTTCCCCCACCGGAGCAGCTCAGCTCGGAGAGGCTCCCAGGGGACACGGGGAGACTCTTCCCACCCAGCCCCGGGATCCTCCCAGGCTGTGCCTGCCTGCTCCGTGTAGGATGCAGCCGCCGTGGAGCCACCTGGGGACAGGGGAGGCAGCCCCCTCTTGTCCCCACGGTGTCCCTCCTGTCCCTGTGATTTTGGAGAGCTGCCAGGTGACAGCCACAGGTTGTTGGGCAGCCGATGGGTGAGCAGGGCACAGGCAGGATGGGTCCCCACAGACCCCCTGCCCAATGGGGTCGGGCTTCCAGGGCTCCCCAAAACTTTCTGTATGTCCTTTGTGACAGGACCAAGGGTCTCCAGTGGGGTCCCAGTGCCTCAGGGCAGCACCCAGACCCCCACCCACTCTGTGAGACATCACTGGGCTGGGCTGGCATGGGAAGGGGCAATGCTGAGTTCAGGGGTACAGGGGGAGCCAGCACTGGCTCCTGTGGGGTGGCCCACAGAGGGGTGATGTCCCCAGGGACGTGCCAGGTCACCTCATGTCCCAGCAGGGCTCAGGTGCCTCCACCCACGGCAGCAGGAGGCACTTTGGGGCTGCACCAGGGCAGGACCTGGCACTCAGAGCCAAGCCAGTGGCTTTGGGCCACCATCCCACAGCAGCGTGCCCGGCCCTCACCCTGCCCTGCATGGCTGCAGCCTGCGGCCAGAGTGCCTGCAAACCGATTTCAGACATTTAAAAATACAGAACAATTGTTATCAAGGTTATACTGAACACTAGAGCTTCCCACGGAACTACTTTATCATGTTCAAAAATATTTAATCCCAGCAATTTTCACATTGTTCTTATAAAAACAGACATGTATGAAGGGAAATGAAATGCTTCGTACATTTTTTTTGGCACATTTTTTTTTTTTTTTTTTTTTTCTCCTCTTTTTTTTTTTTTTAACCGTTACAAATTACAAACACACATTCGTTGTTTTGAAAGGAAAACCCCTAAATCCCAGCTGTACACCGCAGAGCTGCACCAACCACCCCGAGCTCACCCAGCCTCCCGCGCTTGCGATTGCTCTACAAGGACAAAAGAAGGACACCAGCAGCCAAGGACGTGGCGGTGGCTTCGCTGCCCTCCCCAGGGGCTGGCTGGGACACAATGGGGACAGTGGTGGCCCTTTGGGGTCCGTGTCCCCACCGCTGTGCGGCTCTGGCAGGGCTGATGCAGTGAAGGAGTGCAGGGGATGGCAAAGGCGGGGCTGAGGGGCCGATTTTTGCCTGTTCTGCTCCCCACGGATCTCCTGTGCTGAAGCCTCCACACATCCCACCTGCCTCTGCTTCCCAACACCTCCACCTTCATCCCCTGCCCGCCTGGGGGACCCAGCCAGGTGTGGATCCGGGAGGTGAGGGGTGGGCAGCACAGCCCAGCCCGCCGAGACCCCTGGTGCAGCAGGAGCCAGGGAGCCCAGCCCATCCTGCTTACCCTGAGATGCTGCCGGGGGGCAGAGAGCGACCCTCGGGGTGCTCCTGGCAGGGTGATGGGAAATGCTGCTGGAGAGGAGCAACGGGCAGAGGGCAGAGAGCCACCAGGGTGGCTTCCAGGGCTCCCAGCTGCGCTGGGCTGACGGCTCGGTGGCACTGGGTTGGTGCTTCTCCACTGAGCATCACCCCGGAGTTCTGCCTCTCCACATCCTAAGCCAAGTGGGAAAAGAAAGCAGCACGTACCTCGTGTGTGCCAGGCTGTCCCTGCTCTCCTGAGCCCTGCAGCGAGGACAGTCCCTGTGCCAGTGCCCCCCGAGCCCCCCGGGGCAGGGTCTCGCTCTGGGAGCCGGGAGCTGCAGGGTGGGAGTCTTTGGGGGACCCTCAGCTCCCAGCAATCAACCGCAGGCTCTTGCAATGGAGACATCTTTAATTTTTAACAACATCAGAACCGCAAAAATCCCCCTGCGTCCGTGTGGGCAGCGCCGAGGGATGCACCGCCATGGAGGGGGACATTCTGCCATGGAGGGGGACGTTCTGCCATGGAGGGGGACGTTCTGCCACGGAGGGGGACGTTCTGCCACGGAGGGGGACACAGCAGTGTCCCCGTGCCCCCCTGGCCTCACCAGGACCCAGCTCTGCCCCGGCTCCAGCTGCTGCCTGTGCCCAGGGCTGAGCAGCACACCTATCGCAGTTTAAATAGAATAAATACAGTGAAGAAAACAGTAAAATCTTCAAAAGAGAGGCAAAAGGAAAGACAACAGCAGGTCCGGGGGTCCAACCAAACTCCACGTGGTCTCTGGATTAGTTACTGAGGAAGTTCTATGAGAGCACATTAAGTTCGCTGCTGGAGACTCTCTTACCGCTGTCCTTATATCGAAACCTCGTATTCTCGTGTTTCCTGCAAGCAAGGGAAAGCCAGTTGAGGGCAGCAGCTGCATTTCAGGATCATCTCCCCATTCGCAGGCAGCGAGAGAGATCCTGGGTGTTGTTTTGTTCCCCGGGGAGTGCTGCCCTCGCATCCAGGACGCCTCAGCCCCCTGTGCCTCCCAACGCACACGGATGGACTCGTGTCCCAGCCTGGGTTGGCTCATCCCGTGGCTGCCCAACCAGCCAAGCCCCTCAGGAGTGTCCCTAGGGAGGACAGGCACGGCTGGACTCACCCCTGTCTCATAAATCGGGTTGTCAAACTCCGTTTCTACCGTGATCTGGCTGTAGGGGTGGGAGTACATGAGGGGCAGGCGGAGACTGGAGTAGTACCGACACCTGCGGGAGAGGCGGAGCCACGGATGATTCCAGAAATTCCAGAACCGCATCCCTCCGCTCCAGCTCCTCCCAGCGCCCCGGGCACCCCGGAGCATCCCCGGCACCGTGCCCGGGGCGTGTGGCTGCCGAGGGCGATGCCAGCCGGCCCTGGCCGTGCCCCCCGCTCTGTGCCAGCCCCTGCAGCCCCACCTGGTGAGATAGATGTACGCTCCTCCCAGCAGCAGGGAGATGATCAGCACCGGGATGAAGATGGCCAAGGCCATATTTCCCCCCTCGAGCGACGTCTCTGCAGCAGCTTCTGCTACTGAAAGGACAAGATCTGTTATGTTGGCATTTGCAGGCACCGTGTGATCCCCCTCTCTGCTTCTCCCCCTCCTCCCAGGCTCCACCACACATCCAGGAAACCCACGTCACTCACCTTCGAGAGCATGTTCAAAGCTGTCTTGGTTCACTGGAAGAGAGATGGAGAGTTACTGCTCTGCAGCTGGGTTTGACTGGGTGCTGGCAGCTGTTGCCTGCTGGGAATCCCAAACCTGGGATCTCCTGCCCAATTTGGTCCCAAACCATGCTCTGAACTCCCAGTTTTTAATAAGCTCTTGGTGTCTGTAAGCATGTGATCAGGACTGAGCAGGCTGGGCTGAGCAGAGCCCAGATCCAGAGAAACTCCAGCTCTCAGCTGAATTCAGCTCCCAGCCAGGGCTACAGCCAGACCAAGGTCCCTGGGCTGTCCAGGTTGGGGACAGAGGTGTTGGCTGTCCCCTTGCCCCCCTCCCTTCCCTGTTACCTTTGCAGATGGGCAGGGGGCCACTCCAGTGGGATGGCTGGCCCAGGATGCATTTGATGGTCACCTCCCCCATGAGTTCAAAGCCTTCATAGCACATGAAGGTCAGGGACTCTCCTGGCAGGTAGAGGCGCTTATAAAGAATTTGGTACCCATTTTCTGGCAGCCCTGGGTTGTCACAGGCCAGTGACTCCTCAGCTGAAAGGGAATGAAACACATCCAGGGTAAGCCTGGGGGAGAGAAGGAGCCTAGGGGCAGTGAGGAAGCACCCAAGCTCTCACCCCACTCTGCTTCCAGATAGTTCAAAGATCTGCACCACCCCCCACAGCTGGGCAGGGTCCTGGCTGCAGGAAAGTGCTGCCCAGAACCCCCAGAGAGGAGCTGGTCTGCAGGGGAGCAGGAGAGACCACGCAGACTTACAGACGCAGTGCGGGAGGCGCGAGGTCCAGATGGGGGTCCCGGTCTCGCGGCTGTAGCAGGTGAGCAGGGAGCTGCCCTCCAGCACGAAGCCGGGGTTGCAGGTGTACTGGATGGTGGTGCCCACCAGCAGCACCGGGTCCGAGATGAGGCGTGTGGAGTGCTCCACCTCCCCCGGGTCCGTGCAGTACATAACTGGGGAGAGAGCATGGCTGAGGGGAGCCCCTCGAAGCGGGAGCACCTTGGAGCAGGAGCCCCTTGGAGCTGGGAGCCCCTTGGAGCAGGAGCACCTTGGATCTGGGAGCCCCTTGGAGCTGGGAGCCCCTCAGAGCTGGGAGCCCCTTGGAGCTGGAGCCCCTAGGAGCTGGGAGCCCCTCAGATTTGGGAGCCCCTCGGAGCTGGGAGCCCCTTGGAGCAGGACCAGCGCTGTTACAGGGAGTGGGACAGGGTCAGCAGCACCTTCCTGCAGGGCACTCACTCTTTTCACAGAAAGGGGGGTCGCTGCTCCAGCTGAGGTCCCACTGGCAGGTGAGGGTGTCGCTGCCCACGATGTCGTAGCCCGGGTCACACTGGTAGGTGATCTTGGCCCCCCTCACCAGCTCTGTGTGTGACGTGGTCTTCCAGCCGTTCTGGATCTCGGGCAGGTCAGAGCAGGAGTCGTTGCGGGACACCTCTGCAGCCAAGAGGGATTCTGGCTGTCACCCACCCAGCAGGACCCACGGCACAGCCCTCCCCAGAGCCACCCCGGCTGGACACACGGCTCTTCCTGAGGGCATGTCCCTCCCCACAGCTCTCCATATGGCACAGCTGGTCTGCCCTGGGCACAGGGAAAGGGCAGCAGTGGGGGAGAGGAGCTCTTTGAGGCCTGCCCAGCCCTGACCCTACAGAGCTGGTGAAAATGGGGCAGTGTCTGTGCTGGGGTCGGGATAACCTGGGAGCACCAGGCTCAGCTCCAGGAGAGGTGCCAGCGCCAGGGTCACAGCACAGCTGGTTTGCTCACGGGAGGATTTGCTCCCTGCTTCCCCCAGGCTGGTTTGCTCAGGTGGGGGGTTGTGCCCTGCCCTCCCCAGCCCCGTGTGCTGCAGAGCACCGAGGAGGGCCCTGCAGCCTCCCAGGTGCTCTGCATTGCAGCTCGCTCTGTTTGTCGTAGCCAGGGCTGTCAGCAGTGCCAGGAAAACATGCCTGGAAGGAGTCAGGCACGGGAAGCAGCGGGGGGAGAGGCAGCCGTGGGGATGGAACGCCTCTGTCAGTCCTTGTCCCTGCCGTGGGCACCCACAGCCCCAGGCTGGCAGGCACAGCTGCCCCGAAGGATGGTGGAACAGATGTTCTGCAGGAGCTGCTCTGGAGCACAGAGATGGGAACATCCATCCCACCCAGGGAACGGCTGCAGTGACCACCCGTGCCTGACAGGGTGTCTGAGGATCCTGCATCCCTGTTTCCAGCAATTTCTTTCCCTCTGGGCCAGACCAGGGCTAGCAGGGACCAAACCCACCTTGCTGCCAGCCTGAAGGAGGGGACATATACAGGGACACCCCAGAAATGACTGATCCAGAGACCTGCAGCTGGGCTGGGGGTTCTGCAGGAGGTTCAGGGTGGGATGAGAAGGGGGTGCTGGTGCCACAGTGACTCTCCCTGCTTCTGGCCCCTGCACCTGGACACGTCCTGACACCAGCACCCTGCTCCCCGTACCTATATAGTTCATGATGAATCCTTGCCCCTTGCCAAAGATGAGCCCAGCAGGGTCCGAGTGGAACTGGATGGCGAGGTCGGGGCTGGAGGAGTAGAGCTTCTGGGGGCCGCTGCTGCCCACGTACTGCCCCAGGATGCGGGAGGAGAGCTCGTCCCCGTCGTAGATGGTGAGGATGTCGCTGTTGGTGATGTTCAGGCTGAGAGGAGAGTTTGGTTAAAGAGCAGCGTGTTCCGGTAGCCCAGGCAGGACACAGAATGTCCCCTCAGGGGGCAGCCAGGTGTCCTCCCTCCGGGTCAGCTCCCTCCGGCGGTTCCCGGCACCCCGCGCTTGGAAGTGCCGGTCCCGGCGGAGCCGCGCTCGTCCCCGCGGCCACCAGAGCGCAGTGGCGGCCCGCGGATGGCGGGGACAGCCGGGGACACCGGGCAGGGATGGCTGCAGCCTCTCTCCACCCCGGGAATGCGGCTGCGGAGCCGAAGGGGATGGAGGGACTCGCTGCTCTCCCCCCGCTCCAAGGCCAAGGGCAGGGGATGGAGGCACACGCCGGGGGACGCACAGCTCTGGTGTCGGGAGGATTCTCTGCGTGCCCGGGGCTGGCAGCGTGGGAGAACGATCACATCGACCCCAAGGGTGGGCATTGACACCCCTGTCCACGCCCCAGCCAGGCTCCCCAGGGCTGCGAGCACAGCCAGCACCAGCGCCGGGTGGCACAGGAGGGACTGGGGCAGGGACAGCCCTTCCCTGGGAGAGGAGAGCACCGGGATGCTCCTAGCCACACAGGAGATGCCTGAGCTGATCCCCAAACGTTTTATTAGGAATGTTCTTGGAGGGAGCCCAGCTAATCCCCGTGGCAAGCTGACATTTGTAGTAAATCTCTGCTTTCTGTCAAACACGATTTTCTCAGTGACATTTATGCCTGATGACTTCAAATCACTTGGCCTCCAGTTCTGCTCAGCCCCAGCACCCACAGAGCTGGGAGAGGTGTGCTGGGAGCTCCGACTTGGGATTTTATGGGGAGCTTTAATATCTTTATGACTCTAAGCCTCTGCTTGAAACATGTCCTCCTCTTGAAAACCCAAAATAGCATCAAAGGATGCTCCCGCTGCAGCAGCAGCATTACCATGCCAAGAACTCTCAGCCTGGCACTGGATCCCATTCCCCTCTGACCCCAGCACATTCAGCCTGGGCTTGCTGAGTGGCTCTGCTCCCTTAGTGCCTGTATTTCACATTCAGCCCAAAGACTGAGCTCTTTCCATCCCATGGATGCCTCTGGGCTCTCCTAACCCTGGATGACCCAGCTCCTGACTGTGCCACCCCACTAGTGCATGGCCATGTGCTGCTGAGGCACTGCTCCCTGTGGAGAATTCCAAAGCCATTGGAGCAGCAATTCACTGCTGCTGTGAACTCAGAGAGCACCACTCAGTCCTGCCCAGGGTGCCAAGTGCATCAAAGGGGATTATGGAGGCTCTGAGAGGGAGAACAGGGCATGGCAAGGCTCTTCCCTGTGAGGGTGGTGAGGGCCTAGCACAGGTTGCCTGGAGAAGCTGTGGCTGCCCCATCATTAGAAGTGTCCAAGGCCAGGCTGGAAGGGGTTTGGATGACCCTTGGATAGTGGAAGGTGTCCCTGCCCATGGGAGATCAACTCTAAGGTCCCTCCCACCCAAACTCATCTGGAATTCTGCGATTCCACAGCGGATGCGAGGATACTGCAGCAAAATGAGCACTGCTGGGGCAGAGACAGACACTGAGCTCCTGGGCTACTCACAGCTGGATGTCCAGGAAGAGCCGCTTCTCCTCGCCCACGTGGATCCTCCAGATGCAATCCTCCCCCTCCGTGTAGGGCTCCGGCCAGTTGGGGGACAGGATCACCCCGGCCACGGCACTCAGCTCCCCTCCACACGTGGCTGTGGGGGCAAGGGGCAGGCAGGGCTCAGCGGGGAGCCAGGGGTGAAACGTAAATTTTATTAAAGAATTTAGAGGTTTTAGAGGAGCTAAGATTTTAGTTAGAGAGAAGCCTTACTAGAGTTAATTGAAATAAATGAGTGGGCCTTGATGAAGTTAAGAGTTAGTAGTTAACTAATAATTGATTGCTTGTCAGCACAATGTTTAGTTAGCTGGGTTTATAATGAAGAATATTCCAACTGACAAATAGCTTTTAGGAACATGAGACAATTGTGGGCCTCCTCTGTTCTGAAACCAATTGAAGACAAGGAATGGGAGTTCTACCAAGAGTTCATTTGTCATATTTGCATTGAAAAGATAGAAAGGTCAGAAGGAGGAAGACTTCATTGACTTCCTCATTTTGGGACCCCTCCCCATGAAAGGGACACTGACCCATTTCAAGGAACAAACTACACATGCTTAATGGCTTTTGGAGTGATTAGCATGTGAAGTGGGGAATGGGAGGTACCAAAATTTTGAATATTTTGGGTATTCAATACTTGTATGGATAAAAGGACTCTGTAATCACCTGGAAGCTGCGGTGTGGATTTGGGAGCGATCCCACACACAATAAGCGCACACTTTCTAACTTTAAACTGTTAGAGAGTTTTTGTCTGTCACAGTTGGATATCGGCACTAGATCAATATCCGTATTTTTTACTAAATCAGGGTGTCACCCCACAGCCAGCAGCGCCCACGGGCAGGACTGACCTCGGCACAGCGGCTCTGTGTCGTTCCAGTAGGGGTCCCTCATGTTGATGCACTCGATGACGGCAGGGCCCTGCTCCAGGGAGTGCCCGGGGTCACAGGTGAACTCCACGGTGGTGCCCAGGTTGTAGGTGGGGTCGGAGGTGGTGAAATTCCCATTCTGGATGTAGGGCTCGTAGCAGTGGCCCCGCTCAAAGGCTGGAAGAGATCCCTGTTAGCTGTAGGGACACGGAGCTCCTCCCTTCTCACTGAGCTTCCCCAGGCCCTGCTGGTGTCCCCATGAGAACCCAACCCCTGCATCCCCACCTGCGTGGATGGCCTCTGCTACGGGGTGTTTTACAGGCAATTAGGATTTACAACAATTTATCTGTTCTGAGCCACGCCGGCCTAACCAAACCCCACTCCCATGGTGGTTCAGCACTAGGGATGTGCTCAGGGCACTGTGCTTCCCAAGCCATGCACCCTGGGGCTGCTCAGGGCTCCTGGGGGAACGATCCTGCAGTGGGACCCACTTCAGTGACAAGGGGAGCTACAGAGGTGTTACAGTGCGCTCAGGCCATGTTTCCCCCATTCCCTGGGACCCCTGTGACTCTGATCAGATGAGCCTGGTCTCCTTCATGCCCCAATGGGGTTGGTGGAGAGCCAGAGAAGCCCTCCCTGTCCAGAGCCTAGAAAAGGCAATGCCCCTTCCTGTTCATCCTCTTTGCCCTGCTCTTCCCCTCCAACCATACATTAAAGAGCTGGACAACTACATCGGGGTGAGAGCCTCTCTTGGAAATCTTGCCCATCTCCTGATGTTCCTCCCCTCAAGGCCTCGTATCTCTGAGCTAGCCTGATAATTTAGGGTCTGAGAGAGAGGAGAAACATCACAGAGGGGCTCCAGGCCTGCCTGGAGGGGACCCACGTGCCCGTAGCTGCCCCTGGGGGCTGGGTGTCCTGGCTGAGCTCTGCTCCCAGCACGGGGACACGGCACCTTCGAAGCGGATGTTGAAGGCGGTGGCGGCCGCGGGCTCCTCGGCGAGGAAGTCGATCCTGATGGAGGAGCCGTCGCTGATGACGCCCTCGAAGGGGACGCTGTCGGCGCGCAGGGAGTCGTAGAGCACGGCCGAGCGGTTGGTGTCCCCGCTGTACACCACCATCCTGCGGGGACACGGGGCGTGGCACAGGGACAGCGCCCCGAGTCCCACCCGCACACGGCCGCGGTGAGGTGAGCGGCTGGGACAAGCTGGGAGCTTACAGGTTTTGGTATATTCTGGGGTTTTCCTCTCCAAGATAGACATGGAGGGGCTGGAGCGTGTCCAGGGATGGGAGATGGAGCTGGGGAAGGGGCTAGAGCACCAGGAGCAGCTAAAGGGGCTCAGCCTGGAGAAAAGGAGGCTCAGGAGGGACCTTCTGGCTGTGTACAAATCCCTGAGAGGAGGGGACAGCCAGCGGGAGTCAGGCTGTGCTCCCAGGGAACAAGGAATAGGATGAGAGGAAATGGCTTGTGTCAAGGAAGGTTTAGATATCAAGGATATCAAGGAAAAATTCTTTCCCAAAAGGGCTGACAAGCATTGAAACAGGCAGCCAGGGGCAGTGGTGGAGTTCCTATCCCTGGAGGGGTTTAACAGCCGTGTAAATGTGGAGATATGGTTTAGTGGTGGCCTTGGCAGTGCTGGGGGACAGTTGAACTCAATGATCTCAGAGGGTTTTCCCAACACAAATAATTCCATTTTTCTATATTTAGTGCCCAGCAAAAGGCCCTGCTCCTCACCCTGCTCAGAAGAAGCCCCTGGGCTGTGAGGAAACAGCTCCTGGAGCCTCACCTGTCCTTCTCGGTCAGCAGGAGCTTCTCGAAGTGCAGGTGCAGCTTCTGGCCCGGGGGGGCCCCGATGGCCCACACGCAGTACACGCTGCCAGACTGGTTCCCGCTGTAGCTGGGGGACAGCACGCGGCCGATGGTGGCATTGTGGACTGTCCCTCCACAGGGAGCTGCAACACAGAGCACAGCCCCGCTGCCATGGGCACAGCAGCATGTGTGCTCCCCTCTGCCCAGCTCTCCTCAGAGTGCCCAGCGCACAAACCTCTTGCCTGGCTCTGCTTTGCTCTGTCAGTACGTATTTATACTCATAAATTCATATTCATACTCACACATAAAATCTTAATTTCCTTTCCCTTTGCTGCCTAACGAGGGGGCAGATTCTGCTGTCACTGCCTGACCGCCTGAGGCATTGCTCCACACCTCGCCAAGCCCACATTCATCTCATGGGGCAAAGAAAGGGACTCATGTTTTCCTCAGTTTCCCCACCACGGGGCTGGGACGTGCAGGTACCTGAGCAGATGGGCTCGGGGCTGCTCCAGTGTGGCCGGGAGGCGTTGATGCAGGTCAGCATGCGGGGGCCCTGCAGCTCGTAGCCCAGGTGGCAGTGGAAGTGAGCGATGCCACCCGAGTGCAGATCCATCACCGTCACGTCTCCGAAGTCGGGTCTCCGTGGGAAGTTGCAGCTCAGCATAAACACTGGAACGGGCGCACACTGGGAGCTCAGGGCTCAGCTGCTGCCAGCCACCCCGTGGGGACATGCTGGATGTGCCCACGTGTCACACGGAGCAGCGGCAGAGCACCACCAACCCCCCCAGTGCCGCCGCTTCCCCACCTGTTACCGCTCCTGCCCAGACCCAGTTTCTATTTTAAAAATAATTTGCTGGAACTCATTTATTTTTTAAAAGCTCTTCGAGGTAAAAAAATACACTGGCAGTGTGAGTGTGTGCAGGAAGAGCTGCTGCACGGGGACAGAAATGGGGCAAGGCGGGTGTGAGAGGCACATCCAGCACTGGGGCTGGGGATATCAGGGCACACTGAACCCTCTACCCTGGGCACAACACCTCGACCCACCCCTGCTCTGAGCGTGGGCAGGCGGTGAAACAGGAGTGTGGCTGCTCTGTGGGGGCACAGCCCACTGGTTGGACCCTGCAGCCAAGCAGGACTGACCCCAAACCCCCCTACCCACGTTGGGGACACACCCACCTTGGTAGTGGAGCTGGAATGTCCCCACCACGTCGTCCTGGAAGGTGCGGAAGTAGACGGAGATGGTGTTGGTGGGGCTGCGGATCACCTGGCCTTCCACCAGAAGGGTCTGGTTGGCCAAGACCACCAGGGCATCGCCGTCCACGCCACGGATGGACAGCACCTCCCCGTCTGACAGGTTCACACTCTTCACCTGCGGGGAGCAGAGATCTGTGAGCTGTGGGGGCAGAGCTGGGGACTCCAGTGCTCACATCCCAGCCCAGCACACACACAGCAGAGCATTGCACTGGGCCAGCAACAAAACCAGGGCAATCCTCAGGGTTTGGTGCTCACCCCGTGCACCAGGAAACCTCCCCAGGATCCCTCACCTCACTGGGGAACGCTTGGGGATCCACACAGCAAGTGCATCTAATGAGTAGTTCCAAAAGGCTTTAATTATTATTTGGAAATAGCTGAGCAGTAACCTCACATTTACATTTCACGTCCATTTAGCTTAATAAATGGGCTCATATTTCAGCAGAAAGATGCTCATCAGACTGTTTGTTTCCCTGAGTGTGCAAGGCCCGGGGCTCTATATTTAGCAGCAGCCCAGCCGTGATTGGGAGCGCTCCCGACGATGTTGTGACTGCAGGGATTTGTGGCTGCTGTCACCGCCGTGCCCACCTCCCCTTGGCACACGGGGCTGGGGTGTGCCCTGCTCCAAGGGCACTGCAAGGAGCCACCCCCAGCCCTCAGCATCCTGAGCCAGCTCCTGAAGGAAGATCCCTGGAAAAGCTCATTCCTCGCTGCAAAGCTGGATTAACATCCCCAGGCTGGTTCAGAACGTGCCTGGGTTCACCCCAGCCCATGTTTCAGTCCAAATAAGCTGATTTTGCCTTATTTTTCCAGCTGGGTCCTGGCAGGGAAAAGCATTTTCTGGAGCATGGGCCACATGCAACTCTGACCCCCAGTGTGCTCTGGGTCATTTCTCCTTTTCCAGATATTGTCCCAGAACGTGTCTCCCCAGCATGGCCAGCACACACTGTGTGCTCTGGGTAATTTCTCCTTTTCCAGATATTGTCCCAAAAAGTGTCCCCCCAGCATGGCCAGCACACACTGTGTCTGGTGGGATGGCACAGATCTGATTATTAACAAATGGGATTAATTAAGTGTTATTTGGGTGAATTATTTGGAGTCCAGGGATCCAAGTGGGCTCCATAAACACCAACAATTTCCCCAAGCTCCTACTGGGACAGAGCTTTGCTTCTCCAGCTGGATCTGGATCCCTGCAAAGATTTTTCCAAGGTGTTTCTAACAGATTTTGTGCTGCAATCGCTTGAAGCCAAACCTGTTCCCCAGCTGGCTCCCTCCAGTGCTGGTGGCACCACGCACATGACACAGAGCCAAACCACCCTGGGAAATTGGGAAGGGGATTTAGGGGAGCAGCTGGAGCAGGCAGAGCTCTGCAGAAGGGAGCAAGCTGGGGATCAGTGCTGGGTGTCATGGGACACACACACACACACTCGGTTCCACCGTCAGCCTCCCCTCGGCGGAGCCAGGGGAGCAGGGTGTCACCACAAGTGCCATTCCCTGTGCCAGCATCAGGCTGGCATTCCCAGAGGAGCCTGGAGGAAGCAGGGAGTGCAGACGCTGCCGTGGCCCCGTGCCAGGGAGCGTCAGCCCTGCGAGAGGGACCATATGTGCGAGCTCCTGCCAGGGGCTGGGAGCACGGGCTCTGACTTCAGTCACAGCCTGCACCCACAGCAGCTCCTCCAGAGCCTTGGGAAGGAAGGCAGGAGGGATCCTCGAGTCAGCCTGCCAGCCTCGCTCACCCACTGGAAAAACCTCTTTAGGGAAATTTGATTTCCTGCCAAGAAGATTCAAGAATTTTAAAAATAAATATAATTTCACGAAGCATTCGGAGAGCTGGCTGCCATGGCACAGGCAGGGCCACAGCTCTCCCTGGAATGCTGAGAGGGGTGCAGGGAGGGGCAGTGAGCTGAGCAGGGACCCCGAGCTCTCACACAGCCCAGGGCAGCTCCCAGCCTTTCCCAGGACCATGCCTGACATCCAGGCTTTGTGCAGATTTGGCAGATTTCCCCACAGTGAATGAGGGTCGAGCTCCAAAGGGAGTGAAGTGTCCCTGTGTCCTCCTGCGTGGCTCCCAGTGCCTGCAGGAGCAGTTTTTGGGCAGAGCTGGAACATCACAGGCATTCCTGCCACCACCAGGCTGTCCCACAGCCCCTGCAGGTCCTGTCCCAGGGGCTTCTCTTTGCTCCTGCAGATGCCTTTAATGAGATCCCCAGGGTACGAGGCAGCACCTCCCCTCTGCAGGAGCTGGGAATCAAATCCAAACCCCTCTCTGGGACCCCACACCCTGGATAATCCAGTGCCTTCCCTTTGGAATTCACCTCGGAGCCCCGAGCCCGCGGTGCTGCAGCACAGGGCACTGCCAGCTGCAGATGAGGCCATGCTCCACCAGCACCGACCTGCTGTTGTGATTTAATTTGTCTGCAACGCTCCAAAGCATCAGCAAAGCAAAATGCAAAGCTTGGGGGGGTGGAGAGGCCAATTTTATGCTCCATTAAAACCTCAGCTCGCAACGGAGTGAGGTCAGGAGCGGTGTCACCTGATGGATTATGGACAGAGGCGAATTTCCAGCAGAGCAGCCTGCCTTTAGCACCCTGTGGATCTGAGGAGACAGCTGCTGTGTCCAGTTACTTTTCCACTGCCATGGAGAAGTGGCTGAGCTGCTCAGACTCTCCTGTGCTCAATCTGCACCACTGTTGCTCCCAGGGAATCTCCCCACCAGGGCTGGCAGCCACGGTGGCATCGTGGCCTGGGGGCCAGCCCCTGCCTGTGCCCACCAAGGGGACAGCAGGGACAACCCCGCTGGAACTCCAGCTCGTTTTAATGCACACTTTTAATCACACAAATTCAAAGCAAAGGGATTTCAATTGGGTGCAAATGGTGACCTGGAGAAAACACAAGAAGAAAGGATTGCAGGCAGCATGGAGACCCTGGGCTGGTTTCATCTGGAGAGGGTTTGGAATGTGCAGAGCTCCCTGCCCTGCTTGCAGCCTCACCGGGCTGAGGGATGCTCATTTTTGGGGGGAGCTGGTGGTGCAATGGTGCACATCAGCTTGGGTGGGACCCCCTGCTCTGACAGGTGGGCATTTGCTGGGCACCTGCAGCGGCCAGAGAAGGAACCTGGGCTGCCCTCCTGGGCTTTCTGCACCCTCAGAGCCTCCCAAAACATTCCCAGCCAATGTGGGGTGCAGAGGGCAGGGAGCTGCTGCCCCCATCCCACCAAATGCCTTTTTAACAACCTTCTGCCAGCGCCTCTTGGTTAAATTAATTGTGTGACATTTAAGGAGTTTGATCATCGCTGACATTCAGGATGTTCCAGCTCCCTCATAGAGTTCATTTATTACAAAGCCTCAGGAAAAAAAAAAAATCTATTTTTTCCTTGGAAAGGGCTATTTTATCAAGTGAAGGTGCTGTGCCCAAGGCTTGGCATCGTGTGCTGCAGTGAGCAGTGGGTCTGGCTGTGGGGACACCCCAAGGCAGGGCTCACCTGGAGCTCGACGCCGTAGCCGGTGTAGACGGTGACGTTGTAGGTGCACTGCAGGTACCCGTGCAGGGGCAGAGGGGGGTAATCCGTGGAGTCGATGTAGCCCTCAGGGTCGTGGAAGCTCATGCTGCAGAGCACTGAGGGGACACACAGCGGGGTCACACCGAGGACACGTCACTCCCACAGCCCAAAACCCAGCACTGCAGTCCCTGCCCCACTGGTGATCCCACAGAATCCCAGAGTGGTTTGGGTTGGAAGGGACACTACAGCCCAAGCCCTGCCATGGGCAGGGACACCTTCCACTAGGCCAGGTTGCTCTAAGGTCCATCCAGCCTGGCCTTGGATACTTCCAGGGATCCAGGGACAGTCAGAGCTTCTCTTGGCAACCTCTGCCAGGGCCTCCCCACCCTTACAGGGAAGAATTTCTTCCCAATATCCCATCTAATCCTGCCCTCTGGCAGTGGGAAGCCATTCCTCCTTTCCTGACACTCCATGCCCTCATCTAAATTCCCTCTCTTGAAGCCCCTTTAGGAACTGGAAGGAGCTCTAAGCTCTTCCTGGAGCCTTCTCCCAGTTCTCCCAGCCAACCACAAAGTCCATGAAGAGCAGAAGATTTTAGGGTGGTGGGCTGATTTTGGGGGGGCTGTGCTCCCCAGCAGTGCCACAGCCCCGTGCCCAGCCCAGCTCACCCGGGGTGGGCTCGGTGGTGGTGACGGTGGTGGTGATGATGGTGGACGTGGTGGTTTCCTGGCTCTCCTCCAGCGCGGAGCCGTGCACGTCCCTCTCCGTGCCGTGTGTTGGGATAACGGGAGCCGCGGTCGGAGCCTCTCCAGCATCCCCCGTGCTGCCAGGGACGGGCTGGGGGAGGGCTGGGGGCAGGGTGGAAGGGGAGATCTGCAGCGTGGGGTGGCTGGTGGTGGCCTGCTCCAGCCAGGGCAGCTCTGGGGCGCTCTGCTCCGTGTCCTCTGCTGGCCCTGGGGTGGCCGTGGGGAGCCTGGAGCTCCGTGGGCTGGGTGGGGAGGCAGTCCCAGGGGGTCCTGCCGGGGTGGGCTTCAGCCTTGGGTGCTTCCTTCCCGTGTTGACTTGCTTTGGAGTCAGTGGCTTTTTCTTGACAGGGGAAGTTTGTTTGGCATCAGGTCTGGGGGCAGCGGTGGCCATAGGCAGGAGCGGCGTGGTGTCCTCCGGGGCCGGCAGGAGGTTGAGGGCAGTGCCCTGCCCCAGCTCCCCAGCTCCAGGGTCTGAACCCACAGCATGCCCAAAATCCTCAGCTCCAGCAGTCAAACCCGTGCCGTGCCCAAACTCTGCAGCTCCGCCACCCATCTTCTCCAGGGATTCATCCACAGCCAGTGGGTCTGGGCTGGCCGGCACCAGCGCTGCCCCCGATCCGCCGTCTGCAAGAAACAGGGAAAAGAAGGATTTAGGCAAAGCTGGGTGTGAAATTAGGTATGTCGTGTGCTGCTGGTGTGAAATCAGCCCCCTGGGAAGCTGTGGGAACACCCACCACTTCCCAAAGAAGGAACAACCGGCCCCCACAGCACAACACACCCGCCTCAGCACAGCCCCCTCAGCACCGCCGTGCTGGGCAAACCCAACCCAGCATTTGTCGGGAACAGGGATGGGCAGGAAAGAGCCAGTGACCAAAGCCACCAGCACCACTCTGGCCAGGGGGTAATTGCATAAATACAGATTTATCCCCCACTGTGGGGTGACCGGGCTGTGATCCATGGGCTGGGATTCCCCGTGAGCTCTGGGAGATGCCGCAAAGAGCTCCGAGAGTCGACACTTTCCATGGAAACAGCAGTTGCCAGGGAAAGCACTTAATGCACAGCACTTAAAGACCATAATTCCAGCCTCCTCGTGTCCCCTGGAGCCAGCGGAATGCAGGGTCTCTGTCCCTCTGTGGGCACAGGGTGTCTGCAATCCCCCAGCCCCACTGCTGGCCTGACTTGTCGGAGCCCCAGCCTGGTTCAGGGGCTCCGTGTGGTGGAAAAGTCTCTCCTCCAAGCCGTGCTTCCAGAGAAAAACTCTGTAGCCTCTTGTTGTCCGGTCTCAAGGCAGTTTATTGCAAGTTATCTAAAAGATTTTCTTCTGGGGCTGCTGTGGTTTGCTCACAGCTCAGGCAGAGGCACACACACACCCTGACATCCTCTCTGACCCCGACTGCTTCTTCTCTCCCCGCCAGGGCTGCTGCTGTCTTTTATATGGTACATTACGTATTACATGGTTACAGTTTTCCCCCAATACCTACTACCTATGTTAAAAGATGCTTTTCTACTCTAAACCAATCCGTGAGTGCCAACATCACCAAGAACATGGAGGTGAGGAAGAAGAAAGAGGAGGAACAGGACTGACCCCATTCCTCCATCTTAAAACTTCTGACCCCCATGTACAAAGTAAAAACCCCCTGTACAGGTACTAAAACCCCCCTGTACAATACTAAAAAATTCTCCCCTCTACTTTGTAACTACTTCTACTGTAATATCTAAACTCAAAGTTGGTAAACCATTCCATGGCTCAAACTGAAAATCACAGCTATTTCCAGCTGCCTGCCAGGGTCTCAAATGCTTCTGACCAGGGCCTGGAACCTCCAAAAATGTCTGAGGGACATTTTGAGCTCCAACATGACTGAGCCCAAAAGCAGCTGGAGCTGCTGTGTCGTGCCCGTGGTGGCAGCCAGGACGTGTGGCCACCACAGCAGCAGCTTTCCATGGGATGGGGCTGGAGCAGCACTCAGGGTTTCCTTCCCCAGCAGGCTCCAGGTAAACCTTGGCTCAGCTCGGTAGTGCAGGTGCTTTAAACAAACGCACAACTCTTGTTGTGTTTAACTTGTGTTTTTTGTTTCAAATTCTGCTAATTAAGGTAGGACTGGAATGAAAAGGGGGAGAAAAAACGAAGCTGTTGCATGTGAATCCTGAAACACAGGGACACTGTGGGTGACACTGCCCGGGGGGCCCGAGGGAGGGCACAAGCAGCCTGTGCAGAGGGACTGAGCAGCGCTGAAAACTGACTTTGCTCCTTCTTCTGGAAAATAGAATCAGTTTCTGGCAAGAATCAAAGATAAGGAACACAACAGGGAAAGGCAAAAAGCTGGTGAATTAGCCTGAAGGATGGAGCTGCCAAAACTCTGGCAGTCCCTGTGCTGCTCCTCGGTGCAGGAGAGTCCTTGGACACTCTGCTGGTGCCTGGGCTGGTCCTTTGCCCCTGGGACAGAGCTGTGCCTGCCCCAAGCCACTTCACCCTGTGCCATCACCCTGCTGCAGCCACCAGCAAACCTGGCCCGGCCCCGAGGGCTTCCTGGCCTCTCCTGCTGTTTGCCACAAGTTAAAGCATTAATTCCTTCATTAGCAAGTGGCTCAGCAAATCCATCACCGATTCCCTGAGCGCATCAGGAGACATTTCACACACATCATCTGCAACCATCAGCTTGTGTCAGCTCTGAATGATCTCCCGTCAGTGCCTCAGTGTCCCCACACTTCTGGGGGGGGGCAGACCAGGAGCTTCCACACCCTCTGCTTGTTCTAGGTGCCTCTGCTTCCCTCTCCATCCCACCCTGGGCTGATCTTGGCCTCTGTGTGCACCCTGCCATGGGCTGATGGTGGGGAATGTCCCCAGGGCCATGCCAGTGGCAGATCTCCTTCCCTGAGAAGTTTTGTAGGGCTCTCCAGGGCTCTTCTCTTCCTCTCCCACCCCAAGCCTGGGAGGAGCAGTTGGTGGCTGCTCTCCCACGGCCCAGGTGACAGTTCTAGGGCTCTGCAGAAAAAGGTTTTGTCCATGGTGGGAGAAGATGGGGCTCTCAGACAGAGGGGAGGAAGCACAGCCCTAGGAAGGAGGAGGCTCGCTGGTTGGTAGGACACAATGGGACAATCTGGGACATTCTGGGACACTGGCTCACAGCATGACAGTCAAGGATCCCGAATCCTTAAAGCCAACACATTCCCAAAAACACCAACCCTGGATCCCGGGGTTATTTGTCATGTGAACCCTAATTCTTAATGGATTGTGCCTTTAAACCATATGTTATGCTTTTGGAAAGCTGTCTAATTCCTTATTAGATCCTTCGCCAGGATGCATTTACTCGATTCTGTCCCTAACAAAGCATGAAATAAAACACTCTGTAAAGCGACTCCTTAATGAGACACTAAACACGCCGCAGTTTGTACAGGGCAAACGCGTTCCAGGGAGGTGGAGAGGGCGGAGCAGAGCCGGGCTGGAGCCGGGGAGGGGCAGGCACAGGGCATCCGGGATCGATAAGGGCTTATTCCGCATTATCAGAAAGGGAATTGATCGTCCATCTCAGCTCCTGATTGATCGCCACCCCCGGTCCTGAGCTGTGCTCCAGCAGCTCCCTGGGCTGCCGGGCCCTGCTCCCTCCCCATGGACCTCGGTGCTGCCCCACATCCCCACAGCCCCCAAAACCCCCACGGACCCCAAAGACACCACAACCCCTACAGCCCCACAGCCTCTACATCCCCCAAAAACCCCACAGACCCCAAAGACACCACATCCCCTACAGCCCCACAGCCTCTACATCCCCCAAAAACCCCACATCCCCTACATCCCCCACATCCCCTACATCCCCCAAAAACCCCACAGACCCTACATCCCCCACAGCCCCTACATCCCCCAAAAACCCGGCATCCCCCAAAGACCCCACATCCCCTACAGCCCCGACATCCCCCAAAACCCCCACAGCTCCCACATCCCCCACAGCGCCACAGTCCCCTGCCCACCCATTCCTGCCTGGAGGAAGCAGAGCTGAGTATCCCCATCCCTGAGGAAGGGCTGCAGTGGGTTTGTTTCCATGTTTGCAGGGCCAGGGTGGGATTCAGTGGGATCCTTTCCACACTGATCTGAGTCCCAACAGCCCTTCCACCACCTCCAAGGCCCATGGGGTGATCATGGCCACACAGGACCCTCCCCAGCTGCCAAAACCCATCCTGCTCTGCACAGGTGATGAGTCCGGAGCTGCTGGGAGAGAAATGGCCACGTCTGACCTTGATCTACCCTGGAGGAAATAAACCCTATTGAGATGCACAAGGGGTTTATCTTGTACCTCGATCAGGACCTCTCTGAGGATACTTTGGCACTGGAAAACCTTCCCTGAATCCATGGAAACCTCCGTGGTGGCCCTGCAACCTTTGCTACCCCCGAGTGTGGCACGGGGGGCTCTGTGCTCTGCAGGCTGGGCCAGGCAGGGCCGGGACAGTTTGGAGCACAAAGTGACCTTAACACAGCAGGACAGCTCCTCTCCAGGACTATTCCGAGCCGTGCCTGGGTGTGTGCAAACACTGCAGGAAGCTGCACGCCAGGGAGGATGTCTCCAACCAGCCTCAGCCCCCACAGTTTATACTTAGCCACGGCGGAAGCGCCGGTGCCGAGCCTGGGCTGCGTGTGGGAGCTGCACAGCCCCATCCCAGGGCTGGGGAGGCAGCAGAACAGGAGGGGTGGCAGCTCCCAGAGTGTTGGAATCTGTGCTATTGATGATTCCAGATTGTAGAAAGTCTCTGTCTTTCTGCCCCGCTGCCAAAGCAGAAGCCATCATTGGTCTGTGCTGGTTTCCAGGTTGTTTATTCTGTTTATCTCTCACATGTTCTGCTGCCCTGCCCAGCTCTGTCCTGCAGGGCAGCGTGTGGGGCTCTGCCCTCAGTGGGATGTGACAAACATTAAATACCAGAAACTCCCTGGGCTGCATTTACAATAACGTGCCAATATCTGTCACCTACGTTGGACAGTGTGTCCCCAGCCTGAACCAACAGAAAAATGCCAACACCACAGTGAGACATGGAGGGCATGAAGAAGGAGAAAAAGGACAAGGCACACCCAATTTCCTCCATCTTGTCCCCTTTGAACCCCTCATCTAGAATCCTAAAATTTTACTTTTGCACCCGTGCCACACTTAATTATTACTTCTATCAAACACTCAGAGCTTGTAATTCATCCTGTAAGATTTAAAACTCTTTTCCATGGCCAGAGATCACAGCCAGTGTCTCTGGGGGCTCTGTCCAGGGGGGTTCCTGACCCCTGCCAGGGTCCCAGACCTGCCAGGGCAGCCAGAGGGAAGCTCTGGATTCCCACACCAGAGCATCTCCTCTCACCCAGACACGGTGCTGGGTGTTGGCAGGGCACCAACACCCGCCCACCCAAGCAGCAATGGCACAGAGGCACCAAAATCCTCCTCCCCAGCCCCAAAGCTTCATCCCTATGCAAGAGGGTCCCCAAAATCCTCCTCCCCAGCCCCAAAGCTTCATCCCCATGTGAGAGGATCCCCAGGACCCCCATCCAGGCCCATGGGCAGCCATGGCCAGCACGCAGCTGCTGCTCCAGAGGTGACTGGCACCAGAACCTGATTGCCAAAATACCTCAGCCAGAGGGGTTTAGAGGAATTAGAGAG